GGGGGAAACAACAACCAAAAAAAAACGCTACTCTCGGAGCCATGGCATCATTGATGGTTCCCACTCCAACACCTCGCCCTCCTTGAACCACAGTCCTGCATCACGGCACGAGCAAGAAAATCAAATTAGACGGGAAAAAAAAAAAAAAAAAAAAAAAAAAAAAAAAAAAAAAAAAAAAAAAAAAAAAAAAAAAAAAAAAAAAAAAGAAAAAAAAAAGAAGAAAAAAAAAAAGAAGAAAAAAAAAAAAGAAGAAAAAAAAAAAGACGGTATTAAGCTCAGTGGCCATAGTGGGAAACTCCCAGCACGTGCCGCTCCCCACAAATAGATCGGAGAAACTTTTCGATAGAAACAGATTCAAATAATTGAGAAATCAAAAAATTAAAATCATGCGAATATTCACCCTAATTGATAAACAAAACTATTAGTGAAAATAATAAAATATTGAGAGTTGAAACAGGTTCCCCACGTTTGTGTGGTTGAGCAGAAGTGCCCAGATACCCGTCTGCCAGTATGTGTGGGCCTGGGAATGAAGGCCTCTGTGCAGCCCTCCCGCGCCTGGTACTAACCCCCCTATTGCCGGGTCGGCAGCCTCTGCAGTGGGTACAGGGGGGCCTAGTAGGCTCTACCGGTAGGTGGTCCCAAGGTGGCCAAGACCAAGTAGTACCGGGTAGGTAGGCAGACAAGGACAAAAAAAAAGTGGGAATTTTGGTCAGGCCAAGGTATTCCCCCCCTGAGGCCCAGTAGGGCGACAGAGGCGAGGTCAGGAAGGTACCGGTACACATGTAGTCGGATAAGAGACTACCGGTAGGTCCACGTCCTGTAGGTAGGATATCAATCTGTGAGGATTTTCCCGTCAGAAAGAGCAGGAACCGATAGAGCCTCCAGGCCGGGGTAGGCTGGCATGTCACCGGGCATCGAGGCAAAACCCAAAGAGTATCTTCTTGAGCGTGGGGAGTTAAGTTGCTCCTCCTCTTTTTTTCTCCCTTGGCGGCCGTCATGCTGCTACCGTCTTCAACCCAACAACAGAATGCCCGGGCGTTCTACTTGCCATATGGGGACTGGAAGTTGCACCGAATAGAGCTGTAATGACCGGGCGTTCGAATCGGGTGAGGACGATATAGTTCGATAGCTTGGTGGGTGAGCGCCAAGCAGCAGGATAGCTGTGGAGCTGCCACGACCACTCTGGCTATAGTGTCTAAACTACCTTCTTTACCCCAAGACAATGTACTGTCATTATAGCTGCATTTGGGGGTACCTTTTTCAGTCTAAATACAGCAACAATGACCGTACGTTGTATTCGGGTGAAGAAGGTAGGGTGGGGTAGGAGAAGGGCATGGCAGCCAGGTGGCGGGTAGTAGAGGTGTCCAGCTCCCAGGCTACGGAGGGGGAACAGAGGGAGAAAGGAGGAGGAAGAAGAAGGAGAGGATGAGGAGAGCGAAGGATAAGACTCGCCTTGGATATGGTGGGACTGCACTTT